AAAATTTTCTTCCTCTCGTTAAGACTCATAGACATTGATATATAATAAATTTATATATTTTTATAAATATATTATTAATTAATTAACTAATTTAATCTAAATTACTTAATTTAATTCTTTTTTCAATTTTAATTTTCTCAAATTTAATTCAATAACTCAATTCAACTTAAATATGTATGACAATTCATATATAAATATATATTTATGAATTTATTGCTGAACTTACTACATGTATATAATATTTGTTGTAACTAATTACTAAATATTGTTTTATGCACTGTATATTAATGTATTTATTTGTTTAAATTATTTTTAATTTATATTTTTTTATTTATTAAAAAATAAAATAAAATTTTATACACTTAATACTTCGTGAAACTTTACATTTCTATAAATACGTATTATTCCCTATAAATATAAAAATAGAAGTCATTTTTAACTCCAACCAAAAATTCTCACGCGAATCTTCGTACTTCCATTAACAAAGATGAAAATACGAAGGGGATCTCCGCTCGTAAGCACCGCCATCCCTACCCATGCCCTTTCTACACGATTCCACCGCATCAATTTTGTGAATCAGGTTCTCACGGAGTTTTGCCATGTCACGAGTGTCAGCACACAGCAGCATCAACATCGTCTAAGACTAAAAATTCACTACGCTTGGCAAAAGCGAAATGGACCCAGCCATGACACGTCGTCCTGTCGTTTTGTACCCTTATTTTGGATTGTTCGTGTATGCTGAGGAGAACACGAACAACCGAACGGAATAGGCTTTTGAATTTGCTAAAAGAATATGTCCAAAACTTCGAAAGCTTACTAGAAGTTGGTCGATCTGAATTTTTTTAATAAAATAAATAAATAGTCGAACCTTGTTGCAATAGTACTGTTTATTTGTAGCAGAGAGAGTAGAATCGCTCTTGCAAAGTCTAATTGTATGATTATAATTTATCGGTCTGAAGAAAAAATTTATTTTTTAAATAAAATTTTAATTTTAAATTTTGTAAATAAAAAAATAAATATTAATTTTTTTTATAAAATTAAATAGAATTTAACTCTAAATTAATTAAAATTTATTATAATTTTTAAAGACAAAATTAGTAATAAAAGAACAAAGTGCGATTGTATGGGCCGCATGTTGACTGCCCTACCGTTCCCCGAAGAACCACAATAGAAAAAAGAATCAATTGTTAACTCATTTCATTTAATTTAAGGATTTATCTAAAATAAGGTATAAATTAAGAATTTATAAATATATTTCTAATAATTAATTGATATATAAATTTTAAAATTTAATTTTTATTTTAATACTATTAAATATGTGAATGATTTTAATTAATTAAATTAAAATTAATATTTATACTTTTTATATAAATTAATTATAAATAATATATCAATTACACTCTTAAACTACACTATTAGAAAAACCATAAATTTGATTAGTTGTCTTACCTTAACCTTTGTGTTTAATTTAAGATAACTTTTTATATAATACTATATTAGTAATAATGTATATAATTTTTTTATGCATAATTCTTCTCTAATTAGTAAGAATAATAAATGTTTTTTTATTTAAAATTTATCTCAAATTAATAGTTATTTTTTAATATTTTGAAGACAAAATTTTTATTTCACATTAATTTTATTATTATCTCTTAATTTTAATTATTCATCATATTAATAAAAAAAAGTCTCTTTTTCTTTTTTCAACGTAATATAAATAAAAAAGTAAATTTTTTTCTAAATTTTTTATTGAAAGATATAAGAAAGATCATCTAAGAGTAAGTGAGTGTTGAATGATTTCACCTTATAAAGCTTGGATAAGGTAATTTAAGAATGATGATTAAAACACACTTATTTCAGACGACATCGTTTTGAACTGAAATGAAGGACTGCTCGCCGAACGATATCCCTTTAAAATAAAATGTAAAGAGTCCAAACCCTACAAAATTGTTTACTATATGGGGATAAGCCCAATCCAAAAAGGTTAAAATATTAATTTGGTCCCTTAATTTTTAGGTTTGTATTAAAATTGTCTCTTAACTTTAAAAAATATCAAAATTATTCCTAAAATTTAATTTTTGATATCAAATAGTTCTCAAACTTTAAAGATACTATCAATTTAGTTCTTAAACTTTGAAGATAAATACTAGTTTAATCCTTAAATTTTGATTACAAATATTAATTTGGCTTTTCAACTTGATTATATATCAATCTAATTTATGAATAAAAATATATCACGAAGAAAAAATATAATTATTTAATTTACACATCAGTAGTATTAAAAAAACTAATTTTTATGATAAAATAACATATTACATAACTCCCTGTGAAGGGAAGGACTTTTTTGACATTGAAAATTAAAGTTCAGGGATAATTTTGATATTTTTTGAAGTTAAGAGACAATGTGTCTAGAATCTAAAAGTTGAGGGACCAAATTTGTATTTTAACCACCCAAAAACCAACGCATTCGGATTATAACCGAAACCCGATGGAGGGAAGTATAAAAGCCCAAAATCAAGCAATGAAACGGCAGAGTAGAAAATCAAACGAGAGCGAAACCAGCTAAAGCTTGTGCAAACAAGCGCGAGAATTCTGTGATTTCAGAACCCCCCCCCCTAACCTGCGAGATTGCGCAGACGAGAAGAGAACCGTTTTCCTTCGCAACTTTCCCAATGGATCTGAGCCAGGTAATGTTTCCGATTTCCAAAACTTCATTCCACGACTTCTTTTGGCACAATGTAGGATCCAATGCCTCGCATTCTTTGTTCATCAGTTTCTCGAACTTTGGTTTACATTTCATTCCGATCATCGTCATCAGTTAGATTCTAGATCTCCGATCATATCTCTCCGTTCCTCGGTAATAGTTTTGCGACTTGTATTGAATCTATTGATTATGTTTGCATTGTGTTTTATTCGAATCGTCTGTTTCTGGATTTTAGATATCTGCATTGAATTTCAATTTGCTGTTGATTTCACGCGAAATGATTAAAAATAAGATTTAAATGCTGATAAAAAAAAATAAGATTTAAATATGATAGTTAAGTTGCTATCTCGATCAACAGTGCAAATAACAAACGTAATTATATCATTATAAGTCGTTTTGAAGGTATAGTTTTCTAGATTTAATGTTTTCAGAAGCTTCTTCCTGATCCTTACTATGTGTTAGAGTTGCTTTGTATTGCAATCTGTGGTTTGTTTGAATTTATGGCTTTATGGACTGCTATTAGACATAATTTTTAATTTGAGACGCTATTATGCTCATCTTCTAAATGTATTCGTAGATTTTAGCAGTGCAAGGGATTGATATACAAAGGAAAATATAAGTACACAAATTGCAACAACAGTAACATAATTGGTTACGGTTAGCAGTGATGATGATCTCTTTTAATTTGGTAGTTGATGTTATTTTTGCTTTTTGTGCAGCCAGCAGAAGAAAACTATGCCAATCCGAGGACATGCTTCTTTCATGTGCTCTTCAAGGTGACCATATCTCTAATATTTGCTGGTTTTGTTTTGAAGAATGAATAGACCTGTGTAACCTGCTTTCAAACTCTGGCAGGCTTCAGCTTTGGCTTTTTACATACTATCAGCACTCTTTTTTGATAGCTTTGTCATCATCTTTGTGATCACTGTTGTTCTGGCCGCACTTGATTTTTGGGTAGTCAAGAATGTTAGTGGCCGGATCTTAGTAGGGCTTAGGTGGTGGAATGAAATAGATGATCAGGGTGAGAGTGTCTGGAAATTTGAATGCCTTGACCACGAGGTTGGTTAGATGCGTATCTGCTGATCTTTCTTCCTTTCTAACTCATATTTGAGTACCTTTTTTTTCTTTTTCAATTTGATTATGCCCGTCTTTATGATCAATATTGTTGTTGTTTTATGGTTCTCATAGAGTCATCTCTACATTTTGTCTTGTTTTCTTATGCAGTCATTAGCTCGTTTGAACAAGAAGGATTCCTGGCTATTTTGGTGGACATTATACATTTATGTAAGTGGCTATTGGTGGCTCACCCAATGATCCTACGGTATAATGGAACGGGAACATTCTAGGAATATAAAAATAAGAGAAGGCAAATTTTATTGAAGAAGAAAAAGGAAATGCAATGAGCAAGCTGTGGTTTGTTGTAACTATAAGGTTGATTAATTTTTTTCTCAATCCTAATCTTATTCTTAACAGGTAATTGACTTTTAACTTAAGAGAAAAGGATGTGTGATGTTAGAAATGATGTCAAGACAGAAATGCATTAGCTTATGGAGTGTGGATTGATATAGTGAGAAGAGTAGCAATGATTCATTGTTTCTTGAAAGTTTGCCCTTGTTTAACTGAGATATCTGAACCATTTTTGGCAGAAATGGTTTAGGTTTATTTGGTACATTACATAGCTGATGTCTAGCCTTTGGAATGTGAATAGAGTAAACCTTTAGGAAGATTTTTGACCTGAAACCTTTAGGAAGTTTGATTTGGTGAAATTGTAACACATGAAGTTATAGATAATTTTTTCATGGGTTCTGATTTACACTAGTTAATATATCAGTCCTTGTCTCCTAATGCAGGCAGTTGCTTGGATTTTCCTAGGAATAATCTCTCTGATTAAGTTTGAACCTGATTATATCCTTGTTGTGGGAGTTTGTTTGAGCCTCAGCATTGCTAACATTATTGGATTCACCAAATGCGGTAAAGGTATGCAATTCTCTCATTTGAGATTTTTACTTCTGTAGTATTTTCAATAATGTTAGGGCAAAATAATGCTTAATTATGTAGTCTTAAAAATAAACGTTGAGTTGTCATGCCATTCTGAATGGTTAGCCTGCATTGGGTTGTTAGAGGAAGTTTTTAAGTCTTAAAGTCCTGTACTGCTCTAGTGCTGGCACTGCACCATGAGAAATCGGCAAGAAAATCATTTTAAACCTGCATTGAAGTTGATGTTAGATGATTATCAAGTAAGACATCTTCACCGGATAATTTTTTGAGTGTGCTCATCTATTGCCTCTGGCCATGCACCAGATTGGAATGACTATAAATTGAGTCCCCCTTCCATGTATTTTAGGGGAGGTATTGTAAACCTGCTAAACCACGTGCCTTCTTTTTTAAGAGACCAAATACTTGGATAATGAATACCAGTCTTTAAATTGAAGGAATCTTATCAACATCACTCAATTGCGGAAGTGTTGTTTGTTGCTTCATACAAACTGTTATTGATAAGAATACTCCTTGCTATATAACAGCACTAAAAGAATTGCATGTTGATATACGACCAAGCAAGGAATCTTCACTCAAAGGACTAGGCAAAGTTTTAGCCTCATTAAATTTGGATTACTCTCCTCAAAATGTATATGCTCAACCCAATTCAAGCAGAAATTTCATTTGTCTGGACAAAATGGTTTTATGGATAATATCAAGACCTGATATATCGTTAAGTTCTAATCCCTGAAGATCACTAAATTACAGAATTGGATAACATGTAACTAAGAATAATTCTATTTGATTTTAATAGTTCTTTTTAACGTAGGAAATTTATTCAATTTTTTTTTATTAAAAAAAAAAAAGCCTAAAGAAAAAGCTAAGAGCTAAGTTGGGTGGGCCGAATGATCATTTTTTCTCAATTACTAGATTTGGTTCTTTGTTAGTTAGGCTGGGCTTTGGGCCAACTACAGATTTTAATTCTTTGGGTTAGTTTGACTTGAATATTCTACATGGTACCTCTTCTAAGCTTCAGTACTGTAAATGATTTCATTGATCTTGAATGTGTTTTGTTGGTCTTCAGATGCCAAGAAACAGATTCAAGCATTTGCCTCGCAGACTCTGGCTTCTCATTTCTCATCTAGAATACAATCAGCACTTAGCGTGGTATAGGTTCTCTCAGACTCTCAGCCCAAAATCCAAATCTTTTGGCTCTGACAGCTTAACCAAGATGCTAAGCCGCAACTGGTATGACTACAGAAATATACGATTCCATTTTTCTTTTTCGTTGTCAACTCAAAGACTATAAAGCTAAATATTAGTTTCACGTGTCTGGATTCTTGATATGCCCTGTTATAAACGAGCTGAAGAGATACATGCATCTTAAACGTCTCTCCTAATCAGGGAGGTAAAAGAGAAGTAAAATGTTATCTTTTTCATTTCCAATTCCATTAACTTTTTTTTTTTAAATTAGTCAAAGTTTGCAGCATTCCTATTTTTATTCCCTTCTGCATGTGATGCATCTTGTTTCGATGTGCCCTTTTATTAAACTATAAGAAGAGATACATGCATCTTAAACGTCTCTCCTAATCAGGGAGGTAAAAGAGAAGTAAAATGTTATCTTTTTCATTTCCAATTCCATTAATTTTTTTTTTTAAAATTAGTCAAAGTTTGCAGCATTCCTATTTTAGTCCCTTCCGCATGTGATGCATCTTGTCTCGATGTGCCTTTTATTAAACGAGAAGAAGAGATACATGCATCTTAAACGTCTCTCCTAATCGGAGAGGCAAAAGAAACGTAATATTTTATTCTTTTCATTCCCAAATTCATTCATTCTTTATTGATTTTATTTTATTTTAATTTTTAATTAGTCAAGTCCGCAGCATTCCTATTCCTAGTCCCTTCTGCATGTGATGTATCTTGTTTCGTGATTTCACAACAAAGAACCGCCCTTAGCGAAGTTTATTCCAACTTTGCCTCTTTTCTTTCTGTAGTTTCGTTTTAATTACTCCGAGCACACATTGCGGGGGTCCTTTTTTTTCTTTTGGAAAGTAGGCAATGGCATTGTAGAGGTCCTTTGGACCATGATATGTCGGCCAAACCATTCCTTAAGCCCCTCGAACGTTCTCCATTTTAGTAGATGTTCCTCTAAATTAAAAAACAAGCAAATAAACCCGTAAAGCAAATTAGCCCTTTGTTAATTACTATTGATAGTTTTGTGCATTTTAGCTGCCAATTTCTTTTAATTTCCACATTAATGCATTAATGTTAGGCATTCCTTATAATTGTCATATTGACATTTTTTTGGTACACATATGATGATAGCCTATATAAGAAAAAATAATCCTCATTTTTTTCACAAGTCTCTCTTTATCTTACATAGGATTCGAATCTTAGATTTCTTACTTGAAATTTTAAGTTTTTAATTAGTTAAGTCACCTTTTGGAGATCTTATGTCAGTTGATCTATTAACAAGGGACAAATTTGTTGTAATTTGCAAGTTCAAGGACTTGTATGCTTGTTTTTTAGTTCAGCAAACTATATGCTAAAATAAGGAAAGGCTTATGGAATGGTTTTGGCTAGTAGGAAACCAACATAGAAGTCGGATTTTCTAATTATATTTATCCGCGCCTTTCTTTCCCACTTTTGATTAAGAATTATTTTTTTAAATAATGAATGTCCAGTGTCAAAAAGGAAAATGCAATTAACATTATTATAATCCTTAGTGGAGTTTCACTATCCGTTTCTGCGATTGTAAAGCACCTTATAAGAGATTTAAAATTAAAATTTATCAAGAAGGTTCTATGTTGACAGTTATATAAATAAATAAATAAAACAGGAGCAGCCAGCTTAAGAGGTCGACCACTGGATGGCGCCACCGACTTCGCCCTAACATAGTGGATTTGCTGGTAAAGAGAGGGAAATTCATTTTTTAGGGTTGGAGACTATAATATGGCATGTCAAATATTTCTCTGTTACGAACATTTATTCCATTTAGGCCCATCTTTCTAAAAAGAAATAAATTTATAATTGATTTTTAAGTATTTACTTTCCCTTCGGTCATTTTCAAAGTCTTCTTGATTTAACAATTGATATTAGTCTCTCTTTTTTACATATTTTAGTAAGAAGTTATTAGATCAAATTTTATGTATTTTAAAATTAATTATTTTGTATAAAATTTTAAAAATTTACTTTTTATATTAATTTAATATATTTAAAATTATTTTTTAATATTAATTTTAAAATTTAAAATTTAATCTTTAAAATAATATTAACTATTAATAAATTTAACTTTAGAACTTAACAATTCATATTTGTCATTTCACTTCTTTTAGTTGGTCATCTGTTGCCAAGTTGAAGATTGGATGAATCTGTACTTTAGCGCAAGAACCTGCTTCTATAGGCAGTATAGGTCTTCGGATTGTTTGTGCTTTTGGTGTCCTATGTCTTCACTTTCAACAGTGAAATTTTGTTAATCAAAAATGAAAAGTTTTAGCCATAAGGAGATGTGTTTTGTTTGGACTGTATCTGAGGAGGCTCTTTTCGGTGTGGGCCTCTGTAATTGAGGTGTCAATGAATCTAGTCCGCTGCACATGACCATCTTCTGCTGTTTTCTTTTCCCAGTTGGGAGCTTTTACAAGAAATCTCATTCGACACTTTGATGACACATTAGCTTACATTGATCAGATGCCCACTGTAGCCACTGCCCCTAGTATATCATGTTGACTTTACTTACCACAGAGGCCATATATCAATCCTATCTTCATCATTATTATCATCTATATCAGCATCAAAAAGCCTCCTTCTGCACATCATTTTGAACTGTTTATTTTTGGAAAAACTTGTTCTTTTGATGTGCCATGAGGGATTTGATTTGTATGGTCAACAGATGGCAAAGGGTGAAAGTTAGCACAGTTTTGGGCGATTAAGTAAAAGAGACCTTGGTGTAGGTATTGAGATCTTCTCCCTCTTTACACTCTTCTTTCTCTGACTTCTTTTCGTTTTCTACTTGGCAAATGTCGCATTTTCTTAAAACCCCAGCAAAATAGACTTAATTAAGACACCCAAAGTCGAAGCAAGTAAACCATAATAGACTCTGCATTACCAATGGCTCATCGAAACGTGGAAAAATTTTCATGTTCATTCAAGTTTAGTCACTCTCATTCAAGTTTATCGTTTTCTTTTTTGTTATTATTATTATTATTATTATTAT